AAACTTTGCAACAGAGTAATATTGTTGTCCGAGAATGTGATTTCACTGGGGGGCATAGTGTTTAAACCAAAGTATGAACCATCATGTAATATCTCAATATGACATCAAGTCCAGTGTGGAGAGCTCAACCACTGCTATAAAGTGGATGTAGTCCCTGTGATGTCACTTATTGTTTCCTGAAGCAAACTTATGAGCCTCAATGATTACAGTCACCACGTTAGAAATGCTGACTCATCCTAGCTTTTCATGGAGAGAGTCAGAAAGGCAGAGTCGAGGCGGGCCTTTAGCCTCCCAACAGCTGCAGTGTGCCCACCTTTAAGTGGAGTCAACCATGCCCTTAATTATGCAAAACTCATACCCACACCATCTTCAAAACTAATTAGTTAAGACAACTAATGAGCTTTTATTCCAAGTATCATCTACAGCATTTCACAGAGCACTGGTTACAGGCAGGAAAACTGTTCTTAAATAACTGCACTCTCTAATATATATTGCATGCATATAAGAATAAATTAAGCATATAAAAGAAAAACATAAATTGATTTTAATTTCTTGTACCCTCTTTTATGATAGTGGATAACCCCATTACAGTGATTTTCATCCACAAGAGACTCTTGGGACTCTTTTTGGGATCAGAAATGTACTGGTAGCATAACAATTGCCTACAATGGCTTTGTCATATTGCTCAGATACATTGCTGACAACACTTTCAACTTTTAAACACATTTGAAGCAGCACCAGGTGAACATGAACATTATTACTTTGAGGAAAAAAGACATCTGAGTGGGCTAAAGCGATGACAAACGCTATTGGCATGTTTAAGGCAGCAATTTCACAACAACATTGAGTTATTGAGTGCACAGGTTTTAAACACGTTACAGATAAAGCCCTCATATAAAATTCCCTCTTTAGCATTAAAGTCATAGCAGCCCTTTATGAACAAACAAAAGCTGCTTGTTGAGCTGAGGGAAGTACATGTACAGTTTCCTTACTTAAGATCCTTACACACCGGGACCAACGCACATATACAACAACGTGATTTTACAAAATATTCTGAGGCGAATTTTGACGCACCTGACTATACACATCAAGCCCGATGCGATTTTGCGACTTTCCGGGGGGAAAAAAGACAGGAAGTGAGAAGACTGACACAACAGCAGAGTGACTGTTTTTCAGTTCTGATTAGACACTAGTGTTGAGATGACTGTCCGTCATGATAGCATGTACTGAGTCGGGGCCAGTGCCAGATAAGCACATTAAACTATAATCCATAAACGTAAGGTAACAACCGAGACCTAATGGTGCGGTGACACCAACGCGATTGAGTTTGAGACAGTGAAAATACATATGGTATGTTGTATCTGAACAGGTTAGCTTATGAGCTAAAGTTACTTAGCACAGATGAGAGTTAAAAAAAAGACGTTTAGCAAACTGTTAAAGCACACAAACTATCCTTCAGGTCGTTATCTTTGTAATATTTGTGTCTTTTATCAAAAAGCACTCTGGTCTTCGACACGTAAACAATCAGCCGGTACGCCATGTTGGATATACCAGTGAATCAGATGTCGCAACAACATGCAATCTGATTGGTGGGAAGTGGACACACAGTATGCAAAACTTTTGAAAATTCGACCGTGAAACGAAAAATAAATGCCGCAATATTGCAGGACGGGAAAACATTGCTACTGTGAACGCTTGTATTGACAGGATACAGGTTCGAAAAAAAATATTGACATCTGAAATAATAGCACGAAAAAAAACGCTCCCGCTGTGAAAGGACCTTTAGACTACAGGTCGGCTGGTCTGTTCCTAGTGTTAACTCATTAAAGTAAAATTCATGTATTCATCCATCTTTTGCTGTAGTCCAAAACAAACCAACAGCTAGTTGGCTAATTTTGGTTAGCATGTCTAAAGGTTTTTTGTTGTTGTTGTAGCCTGCAGCCAAGTCCCATTTATCAAAAAAGTCATACTTTGTACAAACACAAATCTATTAACAGGATTTGACATTTTGTTCTTACTCTTCTTAGTATTTCTACATGTGTAAAAAGTCCTTTTGTAAATACAAGGCTTAAAATAAAATGATATTTCACTAGCACTTTGAAGCTGTCTCCTCCCTCTACGTTATGGTTTCAGACTAAACTAGTGTGGCAGCACAGCATTTATTTTAGAAATAAACCTAAAAGTCATATCTTTACGTCTCATTGTATTAAGAGGATTTTCAAATCAATGTACTGGTAAGAATTTCTCATTTTAATGTTAATTAAAACTGTTTTAAAATGCCAAATAATGACATTGTAAATGTGACTCAACTGCAATCGATTGCAAACAACTATTGAAATTCTGCTAATAATTGCAATTTAATGAATTAATAGTTAGATAATCCTCCTTATGCTTTCCATCCTGACCAGACAACCTTTACCGACTGAAACTCCAAACTTCACCACCAGTGCAAGATATCAGGGCCCACCTAAGATCATTTTTGCTTTTCACCACGAGAGATACTGCATCTGACCTTGTTTGGCTCAGTAATAACAGTGGTTTTTACAATTTCATCAGGAAATAAATGGTTATTAAAAAAGTTTAAAAAATGTGGAATATTTTGACTTTTCAAAGATGTCAAAAATGTAAAAATAATGTGCTGGATTTTTAATATGCTATTATCTGTTCGTAGTGATGTGATTTGGGCCACATTCATGCACATGTAAGGGAACAGCAGGGCTCTCTGCACTATTTTGTTCACCGTTGACTGCATGCGAGGCCGAGTGAGATGGCAGCATGGCTGGCCCTCACTGATAACTAGGCACAGCCGGAGCTCTGTGCACTGCGCTTTTATTCAAAACACACCCGCATGCACGCACATGCATACACACATACACATTAATTAATCCCAAAACGGAAGAGGAATTGAAAAAACACAGTCTCCACTTTTAATTGGACTGACTATCGTCCAAGCATAAAGGGAAAACAAGCTCAATCATTCTCCTCCATCTTGTCGCTTGTTGAATTATTGATAGACAGAGCAAACTGCACTAGAAAATGAAATGGGGAAAAAGAAGCACTGGGCTCTGGGTATTTGAATGTTAGTGATAAAATTTGATTATTCATGTGTGATGCATGCTGTGTGGATTCTGGTAACAGAGTGAGGAGGAGTTTCTCCATGGTGACTGTAGAGAACCTGTATGTGCCAGACAAGCCAGCTGGTATCTTGTTGTCCAAGTACACAATGCTCCAGCAAGAAAAGAGAGAGAGAAAAATAACTGAAGTGCACAAGGCAAAATGTATTCATTATTCAGTTTGAACCACTGTGCAAATTCTTTAGTTCTTCACCCAACCAGTGTGCATTGCTTCTTTGACCCTTTTTTGCTTTTTGCTAAACAAACCCAGCACTCCCTGAATAAAATGCCATCATCTCTTCCTCCTCTTTCCTGAATTCTCAAGCAATGTCCTGGTGAAAAGCATGAAAAGTGATATCAGATTGGCTGCTTCCCAACTGTTAATGGAGTTTGTTAAGTCAAGAATTTGGCATCTGCACTTCTTATCAGCAGAGAAATTTGTTGTTTTACTGCTGCGGAACCATTAGAGGTTCTCTTCTTTTTCTTCTGCAACTGTAACTGCAACTTTTGATTCCTTTTAGGTCATTTAAAAAGAGAGTTGCCATACATCTACCGACACTGTATGTAGGGCTGGGCGATATCAGAAAAAGTTTATCACAATATATTTTTTTCATATCAGTCGATATCGACGTATATCACAATATAAAAAATGAAATTAAACAGTGCTAATTGGTAGCATCTCTTTTGCAAAACAATAAGCTGCTGCATCTGTGAGGTCTTTGTGTCTCTTTGACGTTTTGTTGTAAGGCGTTGCGCAAGAGAAAGTGGACTGAATGGAAGGCTGTTTTCAGTGTTAAAGTGCTATGGTTGCATGTAGCTGCAGCTTGCTACTACAGTTATTGGTTACTGGGGACAGGCCAGGCCCCCTATGATCTACCCAGAGCAACAGTTGTGAAATGATATATTTTAGAGATAAAATAACATTTTGTCTCATTTAATTTCCAAATAACATTTTATCTCTGAAATATATCTATTATTTTTTGCAAACGCAGCACTTGTGTATCAGCTTCTTTTCTACAGACCAGAGGCTGCCACTTGGGTGTTCCTCCTAGCTTGGGAGATATCCAAATTGTACCGGAAGCTTAATGATGTTTCAGACTGTGTTTAACAAAACCACCGAATGCTCAGTGATTTTGGTAAAACACAAATTCTTAGTATTCAGCCATTCATGTGGGTGATAAGCCAGCTGCTCAGTGACCAAATACACAGATGTGTATGGATGCAGTTCTGGATAAACTGCACATATCACAATATGGGGATACTTGGATGTGTCAAAGCTGAATTGATTTCCACAGAGAAAAGGAAAGAAAGAAAGAAAGAAAGATAGAAAGAAAGAAAGAAAGAAAGAAAGAAAAACCTAATCTGAAATAGGGTTGCAAAATTCCTTGAATTTTCAAAGTTGAAAATATTAATATTTTGAAGACCATTGCAGTTGTTTAGCCAACTATATTTCTGTTCATGCCATCGCATTAGTGTTTTTACAAGCTTTTATGTTATTTTAGTCTACAGAAAAACGCCACGTTCACCATCTGATGTGTGGAAGCATTTCACACAAGCTAATGTTGAAGGGAAAATATTAACATTTATGTTTGGATATGATACAGTTTGTTAAAATTACCCCCAATTTCCAGTTAATTCCCATAAATTTCCATAATTCTCATGGAAAGTTTACAACTTGGTGAATTTTCAAAATTCCCAGGCGTAGCTTCCCATGGAAATTTCTGGAAATTTTCTGCCCCTAATCTAAGAGCACCGGGAGGATCAACACCAAAGTAAAGCTTCCTGCTGGCGAGGTCCGGGTCCAGGACCCCTGCAAGTGGATGGCCATGCTCACACTACAACAGGGCAACGACAGAAGGTGGTATCGAGCAATGTGACCGTCAATGCTCACCTGATCCAAACAACCGAGGACCCATCCTCCAACCTTGTCCAAGGCCCTGACTGTCCACCACACTCCAGGGATCGGGTGGACTGATTCTGGTGGCTGACATGGGTTCTATCCTCCGGCCTCTTCCAAGGCCCCCACTGGCTACCATGCTCCAGGGATCGGGTGGACTGACTCTGGTAGCTGGCATGGGTCCTGTCCTTCAGCCCTCTCCTAAGGCCCCGGCTCTCCGAAGCTGGGCCCGATGATCGGGTGTACTGGTTCTGGTGGCTGGCATTGGTCCTGTACTTCAGCCTCTCCTGAGGTCCCGTCTCTTCGAAGCCAAGGCCATGACGATCGGGTGCACTAGCCGGTGGCTGACATGGGTCTTATCCTCTGACCTCTTTCAAGGCCCCGGGTGGCCACCACGCTCCAGGGATCGGGTTGACTGACTCTGGTGGCTGACATGGGTCCTATCCTCCAGCCTCTTCCAAGGCCCCAGCTGGCCACCATGCTCCAGGGATCGGGTGGACTGACTCTGGTGGCTGGCATGGGTCCTGTCCTTCATCCCTCTCCTGACGCCCCGTCTCTCTGAAGCCAGCCTGACGATCGGGTGCACTGGCTGGTGGCTGACATGGGTCCTATCCTCTGACCTCTTTCAAGGCCCTGGCTGGCCACCATGCTCCAGGGATCGGGTGGACCTACTCTAGGACGCATGTCACCCACCAGAGTCAGTCCACTCAATCCCTGGAGTGGGGTGGACAGCCGGGGCCTTGGACAAGGTTGGAGGATGGATGTGTCCTCGGTTGTGTGGATCAGGTGAGCATTTGCGCTCACATTGCTAGACACAACCTCTTGTGGGTGCCCTGTTGGAAACTCCCTTTCCATTGTCTATTTGTATAGTCTACCAAAACATGGCAGAATGCCGACAATCGAAAAGCATATTGACTATGTTCTACAACGATATTAAGGGGAATTATTTTTTTAATATATCATTATCATTTCATAGCCCAGCCCTTACAGTTTGTCTAAATAAAATGTAGAGCGGTGTATTTTACTGTGTTCTACATCTATATCTTGGCAGACCAGTCTAATAGCACAACTGCTAAACAGCTGTGGGCCCTCATAAGGACTTTTTTTTTTTTTTCAGTGACATACTTACAAATCTTAAGGAGTCATGGTTTGGTTAAAAAGACTCCTCAATGTAAGAAAATAAGTAACTAGTGTAGGTAGGTGGCACAGGAGCCAAACTATTATAGTGGAGAAAAGTCCACATGGCGAAAAAAGATTGTAAAAAGCCACACAAGGCCTTATCATCTAATAGCATAAGCATGAGAGGTTAACACACAGTGACAACTCCACATAAACACTCACTGAGATGTGCACAGGGACAGTATGTTCTGCCCTGCCTGCTCCTGAGGCTGATAGTGATGCTGTGATCTGGTCTTGGCTCTGAAATGCCCTTGTTTCCACCTCCAATATCATGATGGGACCAGTTGCATTTGTAATGAAGGTGACACATCAACAGAAATAGATATCTAGATTTTCACTACAGCTACCCAGAAGTTTCACATTTTGGACTTTGCTGAAGACAGTGTACGTCATACCCCAAGTTATACCTGTTTTCCCTCTGAGAGTCTTTCCAAAACAGATTTCATCATACATACAGACTCATATTTTGAATTTTAAAGAAGATGTTGCAGTTCTTTTAAAAAAAATGTAGTCACATCCCTTTTAGTATCACCAACAGATAGCATTGTACAGATGATTTTCAGTTTGGCTTGTAGACCACACATTGTAAGCCATATAAAAGGAACAACTTGATGAATTTGATTCACTTTCTTCTCTGTCTAAATAGAAAGATGATTGAAATTTTTGACCTCCGATGTTTTGATACCTCAACCAGATAATGAGAACTGGGAAACCCCTGAATGGCTTTCTTAGCTTTGACAGTGACAAAACATGTGCGACTTAAACTTCTACAGGCCAAATAGAGACCTTGAAATATTCCCTTCATCAATTAATCTCCATTCAATGACACACTGCTTTACTTAGCCAACCATTCAGCCTCTTCTGGCTGCTATAATTGTGCCAGTTAATTGCTTTTCAACTCTCTTTGATTACAAGGTCGGCTTTGAATGGTTGGTGTACATGGCTCAAAGTTCCCTTTTTCCTCAGTCCTCATGCTTTTCTACCCATCTCCCCCCACCTTACCCCCTCCCTTTGGTTCCAACAGGTCTCACCAGTCCTCAGCTCCTCTCTCTCCTTATTTCCTCTCCTTACCCCCCACTCTGACCCTTGTTCTACGGTTAGCTGTCAGAGATGTGATTTTCATTAACCTCACTATTGCAGTGTCTTGTGAGTGTAATGGTGCCCCTTATCTGCATTATACTTATACATAATATATCTGTCCACTCTGAGGATGGCTAAAGAAGAGGATAAACTGACCCTGCCAGAGGGTTAAAGTAATAGAGTACAGTGCAAACTGTGTAGTACAATAAGAGAATAAAGATAATGTATAAACAGAGCTAAAACGACTTTTTCTTAACTCACGCTTTTTACACCCTGGTCTAAAAAAATTATATAATTATTGTGGCAGAATCTCTTTAAAAGAAGAATAAAGGCCAACAATGTTAAAGAGAATGTGTAAAAATAAAGATATACTTCTATTCTTCTTTGAAAGGGCACTGCTCTACATCTGTCCCTGACGATTTATGCACGCTGAGGTTGATTAAGGAAGCTGAGTCTATGATTTGAAAGAGACAGAGGGCAGTGTGTGTATCTGTGTGTGTGTGTGTGTTTGTGTGTGTGGGTGTGGGTGTGCTTTTCTCCTGCGTCTTTCTCCTCTCCCTCTACAGCTCACACGGAGGCGACAGAGTCCCTCTCATTACCAAACAGCACAGCCCCAAAACAAAGGCTCGTGCACCGACAGTGGCGCATGTTCAATACCGATAACTAGTGTGGACTCATCTGAATTGGCATGATGTATTGGCCCTGACACATATTCACAACTACCAACACATACGCACACACACTCGCACACACATATACATACATGCAGTGCGTATGAAATCAAGCTCAAATGCACAAAAGGCCAAAACATACATGCACATACATTAAAAGACGCACCCTTACACGCTATTATTTTCACACACAGCTGTCTTGCAAACTCTTGTGTCAAACAGTTGGCGATTGCAGGATTACTCTGCAGCAGCAACTTGAATATGCATTCAAGCTTTGCGTCGTCAGCATTGGCTTTTGTTCTCCATGTGGAGAAGAGACACACAAAGCCTTTCGACATCAAAGACTCAGAACAACAGAAATAGCAAATTGCAAAATAGCGAGTGTAGTTCCCAGGGAAGCCGTCGGGTTCCTGTGCACAAGAACCATGCAGATAAGTGGCACAGCTTTATTTCTGCTTCGCTTGAAAGTTAGCTTTCCCCTCATCTGGCCCTCTGTATGTTTCACACCTGGCTGGTTAAATGTGCCACTGGGTCTCTGGATGTGTCTGCTGAGGGGTAAACAGCAAACACAAGCGCACACGCACTCACTCTTTTACCAGCTGACCTTTTCTCAGTCAAGTTCATTTTAGTTTTGGCCTCGTTTGCAAACCGTAGCAGAGTAAGATGATCAGAAAATAGCATCTTTGAAATAGGTAGCCAACAGCCAGGCTCATTGCTATAAATAAATACCTTCTCCTTCTGTGCAGACCATGTGGTGCAAACAGGCAGCAGAAACGTTACCTCCTGCAGTGACTAATATCTGCAATCTTCCTGCCTCTCTGTCACACATAACCACAATGGCTTGTTTATCTTGCTGTCATATTTCTTTGATGCTATGTCGCTTTCCGCTGAGATTTTGCCCTAAGTCCAAACATATAGCCAGATATGAAAACAGCGGGAGGCAAAATGAGGGTCTTTTAAGACGTTTTACATTCCCGTGCATGCAAGCGGACACATCAGTGAGTGCATATCTTGGGCAAGAATTGGCATGAAAGATTTTACCCTTACAGATTCTACTATCTATATTTCAAAGGACACTTCGTTGCAGGTGGCGGTGACCTGCTTTGCAAATGAGTTGAGGGTTGAGAAATAGTTACAGAACAGGCAGATCGCGTGTCATACCTCAAACCGATAATGAGCAGAGAGGAAATGTGAGGAAGGAAAATGTAGAAGAGAAAAAATAGAGGGAAGAAGAGCGAAGAGACTGAGGTGGAGTGCAGGAAGGGGGGCCTAAAATATGCATGTCATCATGTGGATGACTGATAGCTTTCTGTGAAAGCTTCTCTTGATGCGCACGAGCAAGACGGGCCTTTAATTGAGCTCTGCTGCCAATCACAAGTGCTCACTGTGTGTGTCTGTGCGTGTTTACTTTCAGAGTTATATTCTAAATCTGAAGCACTGAGCATGCACACAAAACTCTGTCTCTGATCACCGGAGTGAGACTGTTCTCTTCGTGTTCTACAGTAATTAGCTTTGTGCTAAATGTAAGAGACTAGAGGGCAGCAAACCAAAAGATGATCAGTGCATGGAGAGAATATAGCCTTCAACCCAAAGAAACAAAACCAGTTTGTATGACCAACCATCTATCAACAGAGCCGGAAAGCAGCTAAATTACATTTACTCTTGCATCATGTCATTGATCAGAATTTTTTGTCTTTTTTTTTCTTTTAGTAGTTTTTATGATCAATATTTACCTTTTTTTCTTTCTTTAAAGAGTTATACCTCACTTCACTTTCTGCAAGATCAGTTACTGAAGAAAAAAAAAAGGGAAAAGCAAAAAGGAACAAGTTTCAAATCAACCGCATGACTGCCAGCTGATTGGATGACGTCCACCACCTGACAGTCTGGTGAAGTCATATAGAGTTGGGGAAAACATGCATACACCGGCCCCAAATCACCGCAAGAAAGTTGGAAATACGTTTATAGTTTTGGCCCTTTTAACATTTCATCAGTGGAATATGTCCTTCACAAATCTGACACTTTTTTCCAGCCATGGTAAGGTAGATTGTGAGCTCCAAGCTGATTTTCAGCTGTACGAGTCATTGTGCAAGCTGGAACAGCATGTACATTGGTCTCTCAGCACAGGTAAAGATGTTACAAGAACATTGGATATCTTCACCCTGAACTGGTTCAGTGTCAAAAAAATCCCCTCCAACATTGATGGTCTTTGGATTTTACTTCTTAAATCTCAGTAAGTACTTGGCTATGCGAGGCGGCTGGTTCAGTGGTAGAGTTGGTTGTCTCTTAATTGGTAAGTCAGGGGCTTCAAATCCGAAAAAGTACTTAACCCCAAACTGCCCCCAGGGCCAGGCCAACAATATGCGAGTCAGTTAAGTTATGGATGCTTTATATAGCAGCCTTTGACATCAGCGTATGAATGAGGAGTGAATGGGTGAATGCTATACGTAATGTGGAAGGGCTTTGAGTGGTCAGAAGACCAGAGACACTATAAACATAGTCTGCTTCTCATTCTCTAGAGTGCATTTCAAATTTAGTACTTTTTACTTTAAT